CTCTGGAGACCCTTTAGTCCAATCCCCTGCCCAGGCAGTGGCACCTTTCCGTCTTTTTGGCACACATTGCTAGATTACTAATCTTAAATTAGTACTTTTCTTCCTTCTCTTACTTATCTTTTACCAACTCTTTTCTTCGCTTCTGCTGCTCCTTTTTAAAATTCTCCTCATCCTCACGTTCCTACCACCATCCTCGCCCTCCCGTGCCATCTGACGCCTCACCTCGTGGTGTCTGCTCCTAACGGGACCCCAGATCTCCTGGGCTCCTCGAGAGAGAGACGTGGAGCTCCTGGAGTGGGGCCAGTGCAGGCTAGCAGAATGACTGGGGGATTGGAGCATCCTCCTCACCAGGGAAGGCTGAAGGAGCTGGGTCCGCTCAGCCTCGGGAAGAGATGCGTGAGAGGGGCTCTCATGCACAAATGTCCAGAAAGGGTGTCGGAGCATGGATCAGGCTCTGCTTGGCAGGCAGAAAATGATGCCCTGAAGTTCCATCTGAACATGGAGCTGTGTCAGGCTGGAGATGAGGGAAGGGTTCTTCCCCCAGAGGCTCTGCCAGAGCTCCAGGAGTGTTTGGACAGAGCTCCAGGGATGCACAGGGGGGATTTGGGAGGTGCGTGCAGGGCAGGGGTGGGACTGGGTGATCCTGTGGGTGCCTTCCAGCCCAGGGCATTCTGCGGTTCTATGATGAACAACTTTCTCAGCCAGCACTGAGCGGATCGCCCGCGGAGGGTGCGGAGCGCAGCCCACCGGCGCCGTCCCAGCAGCGTCTGCCCGGTGCTGCGTGCAGCGGCCCGGGATGGCCCGGGATGGCCCGGGATGGCCCGGGATGGCCCGGGATGGCCCGGGATGGCCCGGGGCGGGACGGGATGCCCACCGCCACCCGTCCCTCCCGGCGGCCCTTCCCCAGGCTCCCCGGGCCGTCCCTCCCGGGCCCGCTGCCGTACCTGCGAGGCAGGCGGCCGCGTCCACCCAGCGCAGCAGCGGCCCCGCGCCCAGCTGCCCGCGGGGCCCGGCGTGGGCCGGCAGCACGGCCCGGCTCACCGACACGGCCATGGGCCGGACCGAGCCGCGCCCGGCGCCGCCGGACAGCGGCGGCACGGCCCGCACGGGCACCGGGAGAGCGGGGCGGGACGGGCGAGGGCAGGGAGCGGGCAGGGGAGGGAGAGCGGGGAGGGAGAGCGGGGAGGGGAGAGCGGGGAGGGGATGGGGAGAACGGGCGAGGGGAAGGGAGAGCGGGGAGGGGAAGGGACCGGGGGAGGGAAAAGGGACCGGGGGAGGGAAAAGGGACCGGGGGAGGGGATGGGGAAAGGGACACCGGGTGAGGGGAAAGGGAAAGGGAGAGCGGGTGAGGGGAAGGGGACCGGGGGAGGGAAAGGGACCGGCTGAGGGGAAAGGAGACCGGGTGAGGGGAATGGGGACCGGGTGAGGGGCAAGGGATGGCCGGGATGAGGGAAAAGGAGACCGGGTGAGGGGAATGGGGACCGGGTGAGGGGAATGGGAAAGGGAGCCCAGCTGAGGGAAAAGGAGACCGGGTGAGGGAAAGGAGACCGGGTGAGGGAAAAGGAGACCGGGTGAAGGGAAAGGAGACCGGGTGAGGGGAATGGGGACCGGGTGAGGGGAATGGGAAAGGG